CAGTATTGATTGTGGCCAGAAATGAATGGGAATGTGCTGCAGATTTAATTTCCCTCCCTTCTCCATTCATTATAACCAAACCTAATCTTTTTTTGAGCTTCTTTCAACGATTAAAAAGCAACAACCGAAGTCTCAGCAAACAAAAGAAGCACAAGAGTGGATGGTCTCACTGTTGCGAGCTGCTCGGACTTTATTTAGAAACAAAGCAATGCGTGAAGGGAAAAAAAATCCTCTGTGAACTCTTCTGTCTGAATGTCAAAACTCTCTTTTCTCTCTCTCTTTTAATATATAAAATGGCTGCAAACCTGTACCAAAAAAGGACTGTGTTATATAGCTTCTGTGGTATCAGTTTGGGATGGATTGTAAATATCAGCCTTAAATCAAAGCATTGCTAATCTTAATGTGAATAAATCCTTATGAGGTAAAAAGAATGTACTTTTGGAAGTGAACAAAAGCCAAAGACAGTGTCCTTATAGCCACAATAAGAAACTCTCCCATGGCTGTATGGAGACCTGGGCAAGTGTTTGGATTGTCCCTTCAAAGCACTGGACAAAGTTCTTGTTTGTACAGAGGTAGAGGCTGGTCCAAAGGCCTGTTGCTGCCTCTTGGATCATACCCCTGGGGAAAACACTGTTTGGGGGGGACACCTCCTTTCTCTAGGAGATCCCTCCATAAAACTCTGCTTTTCGCATCATGTCTTTTGTCCCTCTTTTCCAGCAGTTGGTGCCTTAAGAATCCAAAGCTGGGATCGCAGCTCTCCCCCCCCACCAAACAAAGAGCCTGTTTAGCTTCTTTGCTACCAATGTAATATATGCTCTTGCACACAGGTGCTGTCTAGCTGTCTTCCAGCTGTTGGGAAGAAGGGAAGAAACTTGGTGCTGCTTTAAAAAGTCCAAACCACCCTGCTAAAAAGGGACAAAGGGCCTGATCCTTGGGATTTTTTGAGTGCTAACTCCCCTGATCCTATTTCAGTGGCACAAGGTGCCCCAGGACCCAGCTCTTCTGCTTTTGTTCACCTCTTCTTGCCTCAACTCTGACTTGATGGTAGAACTTGTTTCTACAGAAGCCTTTTCTTTATGGTGCTAAATGGATCTTTTTTCCTCCTCTGCCTTGCCTCTGACATCTGTCATTTTTTATATGGGTGGGATCAAGTTTCTCTTTTATCTTGGTGTCCAAGTCAAAATGTCAGAGGGGGAAATTCTACCTCTGTTGCCAAACTATGACAAGCTGAGAGCAAAGGGAGCAAGTGCTAGCTCTGTTCTGTCCTTTCTTTACTAAACTGGCTCCCGATTTATTTTTTTCCTCACCCCAAAATCATAGTTCTGTCTGTTTTCTAGGTAGAGTTCCAAAAATTCCCACCAACTAGCACCTGCTCTGCAGTACTAGCCACATTGGCTGCCTCGGTATAGACGGGTCTTCTGCCTGCTAGTTGCTTCTCTGGTAGCTCCTCTCAGATCCTTTGAAGTGCCAGCAGACACCAAGTCACCAGGACTTGGCAGTCCTAGCTCCCGTGAACCACTGCCACTCAGGCAGAAGTACCTCTCATCAGTATGATCAGGACGTGCTGGGACCTAGTATATCTGGATTGTCCCGGTCCATTGAAAATACAGAGATTTTATTTTTCCTTTTTCTACCATTACTTTGCTTTCAGTAGACTATTTCCTCTGCTTAATGAACCAAACTGAGCCCCTAATAGCCTGAGTTTAGTACCCCCAATAAAAACTGGAGGCTGAGCTAAAGGAGGAACTTGCTTGCCACCCTTTCCCTGGCCCCTTGCTTGCCCTTTGGTTTTAATAAATTTTGAAATGCCCTAAAATAATAGCATGTTTCTGTCCTTTGCTGGGTTTTGGGCTGGCCGGGGAGGGAAGGGACGATGCCCCAGAGAGGAGGCTGGTTCTCCATTCACTGGGGAAGGACATCCAGGCAATCTCAAACCATGAGGACTCATTTGCAGGGTGACCAGGGATTCTAGGGGCCCTTTGGCCCAGGGGTTTCAAAGCAGCCTGTGAGCATGGGGTGGGGGGCAAGGAGGTGGTGGAAGAGACCAGGGGCAGGGGTAACCTACAAGGCTGAGACCTTCCCTGTAGTGGATTCGGGGCGGGGGCTTCCTATTAGCAGGCAGTGGGTGCCCCCTGGTGGTGTGGTCTGGGCCTAGCTGTGCCAGCCACAGCTGCTCCCATGGGTCCTGCACCCTATTATGCACATGCATGCTGGCTGCCATAGTTTTGGGAAGGGGGTCACTGGCACAGCACAGGGGCATCTACTGATCAGCTGCGAGGGTGGGGTCTGAGGTTTGGATTTTGCCCCCCGAAGGCAGTGGCTTTGAGCAGATTCAGTCTGATCTTCCCCTCCATCCCTATTCTGACCCCATGGCCTCCCCCTTCCCTTATAGGCAGCCAGGGCAGTGGGGTGGTCCTGATCCTTGCCTTTGTGGGGTCTGATTCTGATGCAGCTGAGGCTGGGCTAGGGAGGGGTTGGGGTGGGTAGAGGTGTAGGAGGCCGGTGCCAGGCTGAGCTTGGTTCTGCCAGCCTGCCTCTGCGCTGCTTTGTCTGCCTGGAGATATGGGAGGAGGGGAGCAGCCTCTCTCCCCCCATGGGATGATGCAGCTGCCAGGAGCGGCCCTGTCACACCAGGGGCTGCTGCTCACCCCCACCCTGCCCCCGGCTGGGATCAGGGGTACTCAGTAACCCCTTAGCCTACCAGGCCCCTCCACGCCGCCCACCCCTTGTCCCCCAGCTCTATGGCCACCTCCCCACCTGTCCCCATGGTCCCACGCATGTGCATGGCTCCATACACACATGGAGGCATACCCACACGTGTGCAGGTGAAGGCACCTCTCTCTAGCGTGTATAGGGCAGGGGCCCTTCTCTGTAGGGACCAGCAGTATGGGGCAGGGGCCTCTTTGTATAGGGGAAGGCTGTGTAGGAGAGGGGTCCTTCTCTACAGAGGACTGGCTGTATAGGGCACGCTCTCCTCTCTATAGGGGCAGACTATACAGAGCAGGATCCCCTCTCCATGGGTGGGGGGGAGGGGACTGTACAGGGCAGGGGTCCCTCTCTATAGCGGTGGACTATATAGGGCAGGGCCCCCCCTCTATAGTATGGATTATATAGGGCAGGGTCCCTCTGTACAGGGGCAGGCTGTATAGGGCGAGGACCCCACTACTGGGGAGGGGGCTGCTTATATAGGGCCCCCGTCCCTACTGGGCTAACCCATAGGGGCGGGAGCGGGGCGCTGGCAGGGGGTGGGG